CGCTTTCTATCACAGATAAGACTGCTTTTGTGTCATGTGTATATGCAATTTGAAAAATCACACATATTGATCAACTTTACTTTGCTGATCACATCTGCATAACTCAGTGCTCATTTCAGTTTACTAACTATCCCTGAAGAATTCTACTTGTCAGAACTTCCTCAAAGTGTTTAACTATTCCTGTTTCATGATAGGTCTTAGCTAGGGAGAAAAATCCATGATGACTGATCAATACATACTCAACAAAATTTTATAAGAATAAGTAAACATCTGTATAACAATTAACATTTTAAACTTTTAAAAGTAACTTAACTTTTTATTTCTATATGAACAATTCCTGTTAAGAAAATAAAATAGTATTCCTTACATGATTAGTTTATGAGACACAGTTGAATTTGGATGTGTAGTAATCTCAGCATATCAGTACCCTAAAAGACCACACTGTCCAAATCATGACTTTTTGTATAGCTTTGACCATTACATCCTAGGTTCACAAGTACAAAAATAGATATGCAAGATCAAAACAACCATTTTGGAGGACAGTTGGGCAGGAAAACTAAACACATCCTGCCTCATGACTTGACCACCCTATATCATCCAAAAATACATCCAACAGCAATAGACGCTTACTTCCATCAAAAGACATGCACAGACTTATTCTAAGCAACTTTATTTATGATAACTTGAAACTATTGCAACCCAAATATCCATTAACAGGAAAAGTTATGAGTTATATAATATAATGTAATGGAACACTATACAACATTAAAAGATTTATAGCTAATACAAGAATAAATCTCACAGACATGTTGACCAAAAGAAGATAAAGAAAATGCATAGTGTGTGATTCTACTTATTAGAAATTCAAGAAACATCAATGTTGATAAACATCAAAATAGTGATTATTTTGACAGAAGTGTGTAATGGGAATAATTGACTGGGGAGATTACCTCTATATGTACACTCTCCTATAACTACAATCCAGATCAAGGAATGGAGGCTTCCATTTCCCAGTTCCATTCCACAGCCCTATCTTAATAAGGGGAGAAACATATGCGTGCGTGAGCGTGCGTACATGCACACACACACACACACACACACACACACACACTCCAGCTATTCACTTAAGATTAGCATGGTTTATATACTTTATCTTTCCTGAATCTTAAATAACAAATTTACATAAATGAATAAAGGATGCACATAAGAAGCTTAACTCCAAGATACCAATTCAGTGATTACAAAGGCCTAAGAATGTTTTTTAAGTTTACGCCAATGTATATTTTCATGTTCTTCTACCAAAGGGTAGTTCACTAATGGATATGTGGGTATTCAGATTTGTAGAGTACCAAAGGTTTGGCAGTCACATTTTATTTTGAAAAATCTAGTGTTTTAAGCCTATTTGCCTTGGTAGATTTGTATAGAATACATAAACTTACCTGTTATTTTATATTACAAATTTACTTTGATTCTAATGTGCATACAAAAAATTTTTTAAAGTGAAGGAAGATTTAAAAAGATGCTTATCATTTTCATACCTGAACACTCCAAATATGATCTCTTACATCAGTCATATGATGTATCAATTTAATTGGATCGTTCTTTACCTTAGTAGCATGTACAATAATGATGCTTCTAATATTGGATAACATCTTAGATTCAAGGAAGGTTAACAGACATTTACAAAGCTTTAGTCTTTTGCCATACACTTGACACGTACTCATGAGTATTCATAGATATTAGATTTTGAGAGGATTCACAGACCCCAAAGTCTATAATAACCAGACCAGGAATGAACAAGTGAAGCAGACCAGATGGCAATTCACACATGAGTCACATCAGTGGTGGCCTTCCAAAAGGGCAACCATGCCTCAACACCAGGAAATGGGTCCTGTGCATAAATGCTGATGTAGTATTGACAGATCTAATTTTTTGGAGAGAAGCTAAAAGCTCCAACTTATTGTGTGAAATTTCCTAAACTGTAAATGGTGGTTCAAGTAGAAGTCATGTCTGTGAGCTGAATCTAGGCCATGGAATGCCTGCGTGTGACCTTAGGCTGAAGGGAAGTTCTATGAGGGCAGGGATCTCATTGGTCTTGTTTGAGAATCACAAGTATCTAAAATGGTACCTAATAATGCAGTAGGCGCTCGATAAATATACATTCTATGAATACATAAAGATGACATTGAATCCGTCTTACCCATGAGCACAACATACAGAGGAGAAATGTATATAATTTTATTTGTTTTTTAATTCAATTTTTTTTTAATATTCACAACTTTTTTATTGTTGTGCTGGGTGGGGGTATACTGTGGCATTTACAAAAGTTCTTACAATATATCATACTTGAATTCATCCCCTGAAATTTGTATAATTTTAAAATGCCATTTCTGATAATATGGAAGTAAACTATCTTACAATTACCATTAAGTAACTTTTTTAAAACTTGACATATTTGGAAATTATTGAGGGGACAATTCTATAACGGTCAAAAATTGTTTCATGCTGCTGACTATCTAATTCTTACTTAACCTTCAAATTTATGTCCTTTATCTGTAATTCCCTTTCTGAGAGCAGTACTCCCTCCTCATAGACTCTCAGGACAGTGTGCCTTGCCTCCACCAGTCCTACCTGATGTGTGCATCAATGTACACATCTTCTTTCCTTCTGGGGCTACAAACTTCCTGAGGGCAGTCAGCTGTCTGACTTTGTGTACATTGGCATCCACATCCAACATGTGATTGTCATCTTAATTGCATTGTGATATTAAATCGGATAAGTAAAGGACTCTGGTGTTTTCTCTGCTTTTGGTGTCTATATTCTTCACTTTTTCTAGAATAACTTTCAGTTTGGCACTGATGCCCTACTACCACCCCACTTCTATATTCAGGAAATACTTTAGGGTTCTCTTTTAGGACCAAGCCACTGTCCTAATCTGCAGAAATTTACCAAGCAAACAGACATATATGTGTAATTGTGTATTAAATTCCATAATAAAGGGGAAATGCACTGTGAGAATATGGAGGGCATTCAGTATGATTAAGAAGTCCTGGAAGCAAAGAACTTGCCTAGGGTAGCATCAGGGGAGAGTTTTCTCCTACATAAGGAGTAGCTGTCTAGATAACTTAAATCGTCCAGATTCATGGGTTGCAGAATGGGTCCTGCATCTCAGTGGACTGGTCTCTCAGGCCCAGTACTTATATTCTCAACAAGGAAGCCATCTATGACATCTTAAAAGGCAGAATAAAAACAGGATTCCAGAGCAGGTGAAGAATCACAGCAGATGCTCACTCTCCTTTCAAATGTGTGTTAATTACTAGAACTGGAACTGAAAGGAGACAGCATGCCTTTTCAACATCAGAAAGACCTGTAAAATTTTAAATCAGACGGTAAGGAAGGCAGGCAGGACTACAAGATCCTAAAGGATAAATATTGAAATAAGATCCTTTGGTTCATAAAGGCATCTGAAGGAAGATAGGAAGAAGGATCCATTGTAGTTCTAAAAGATTAAACGTTCAGTGTAGAGAATAGAATGTCTTAATGAAAGAGTGAGGTTGATACCACTCCCATGGCTCTGCCTCAGTCCCAAAGGGTCAGCAATGAGAGCCACCGAAGACATCTGTACAGAAAATCTGGAAATTATGTCAATTTCCTAATTTTCTAGTGTAATTTTAATACTCCTCTTTGAGGAAAAAAAAAAGTCAAGTCACTGAAGAATGCTGATTCATTCCTTCACTAAGTGTAAGACACCAATCTAGAGATTAGATATGTGTAATTTTACCCCCAAATCCTCACCCTCATGGGGTCCTTTTTCTTGGAGGAGTGAAAACACAGGCAAAAGTACCTATTGTTAGAGAGTCTTTAACTGTTTATGATACTTAAGCTAGATATTGGACATTTGCTAACTAGGGCAATGTTAACAGTAAAATTACTGCTTTTTCCCCAAATAATTCTCAAGAGTTTATTGTTAATGTGAACCTAACCAGAAATGGCCTCTTCCCCCTTTTATAATCATAAATCTTGCACTGGGGAGATAAGGTATGATATCTATATGATACCTACTACACTTTAAATTGTCACACTTTACATATGAGTAGACACCATGCAAATAAGTGTATACATTAAAATTGGACAGCACTTAAAGAGATTTAATAATTCATCCCATTGCCTCTGCAAATAAAAGTACCAAAGTCCCATTTATGCAATTGCTAAAATATGGTGGATAATGATCCATTCATGTTTAATATGGCTAATAAATTTGAAAGTTCACACTTTTATTGAAAACATTTCTATAAAATGCAGTCTTGGAGGACAGATTGTTAAATTTAAGTATTTTATAAATTAGAATTGTAGATTGCAATGTGATTAGTGGCAGCGCTGTGCCAAGAGCCATCTACCAACTTACCTGCATGCCTTTAAGCACTTAGCAACAGTTTTCATATTTCACTTTTATGTGCAACCAAATTGCACACAATTTTAAGGGGAAAAATTAGCATGGTAACATAGTAATGATCATAGTAAATATTGGGTTCTTCTCATTGACTTATATTACATACAGTATTTCAGAAAAAAATGTTTCTTGGTCTAACTATGTTGAAATATTTTACCTATAGAATTTATGTGAAGAATCTCTCTCTCTCTCTCTCTCCTTCTCTCTCTCTCTCTTACACACACACACACACACACAAAGGTCCAGACAGTTTGAGGTATAAGTTTTAGAAGGCATAAAATCCTATTAATAATTCCATCTGCACAGGCTTTAACAAAATATTGTATAGCTCAGGATACTCAAAGAATTCTTTATTTTTTAGGTGAGTTCCATAAAATTTTGAGAGAAATTAATTAATGCCCATTTGTTTTAAAAGAGCAGAGGCAGAGCAAGCTAAAATGCATTTTTGCAATTATTATATAAAAGTCTTAATGTTCTTTCTACTGATTGCCCTCTGAAGTGATTGAAATGTATGAATTTCTGAATTTTATGTAGTATCAATATGACTTTATGTCTCATTTTCTTTTCCCATTAAGATTCCAGAAACTTATTTCATTAGAGATCCCCATACATTCCTCCTGACAAAGGACTTTATTAAGGTATATATGGCCATATTTAGTGTTAAAAGTGTTCTTTTGTGTTTACTTGCACGCATGAAATCACACATTAGCATTTCCAGATTTACCCAGCTTCTGGTAATAAGAATGGTGATGTGGCTAACTGAAGCATGTTTGGAAGGAGAAGCAACGCTTGTCTACAAAATACTAACACTTGGATGATTCTGCACCCTGGGAAAAGAGCACCCGGCGAATTTTCTGGCCTTTTTTCATGGCTGACTTGGAATACACTTGCATTGTCAAGAGTGTGTTGACCTCTCTGTTTGACACATATTGATTATGACAGTCACCCTCCTTGCCCTGCAGGCCATGGAAGCGCAGATACAGAACTTTGGACAGACACCATCTCAGTTGCTTATTGAGCCACATCCACCTCGGAGCTCTGCCATGCACCTGGTAAGACATATCAGCATACTTAGGGTTTTTTCTTTGTACCTGGGCATATAGCAAATAAAATATTGATCTTAGCAGCATTTTTAAAGGCTTTCCACTTATTTGGTTAACTCTCCAACCAAAGGACATACTGATACCCCAGGCAGAAACAGAAAAGACAGTATAATTCTTACTTTTTAGTCTTGCATATTAAGCTAGCCCAATTTTGGATTCACATAAATAGCCATCTTCTCTGTGTATGTCACTACATAAACTCATTCACATACATACAAGCATACAAACACATATTGGCACCAAAATTAAATTAGATTTGTAGATTATAGTGAAAAATATAAACACAATATAATATTGCCAAATTTCCTTTTGAGAGGCAGGGCAAGGTAAAGAGAGTCACTCATTTTAAGAAAAAGAAAGAAATAGGAAGGTAATTTATGGCCTCTGCAGAGACAAAGGACCCCAAAGCCAGACATGGGCCAAACATCATTCCTGCCACTAACTAGTAAATGACTGGGGCAAAATACCTAACCTCTCTGTGTTCACAACCCAGCATCTGTAACTTGGGTATAAAACTATTACTTCCCACTAAGAATTTAATAACCCAAGTCTTCATAGCACTTAGACAAGACCTTGTAATACAGATTCTCAACAAATATTAGCTGACATCCTCATCAGTAGCTACTGACATTAAACCTTTATTCCCATTTTGCAAAGGAAAAATGCTTATTCTTTTCCTCTTAATCTAAGTTTTAAAAGTCCATCCTCATAATAAAACAGTCACTTTTCAGTTTATCAGCAGATATGTAGCTTTAATAGGTTTTTTAGACTGTGATTTTTTTCACTAGTTTTTTGGCTTATATACTTAAAATCATTTCCAAAATAAATTCAGTTCAGTTTTTGTATGGTGACCAAGGCAATAAGTACATTCATGTTGGAGTGAAGAGCTCTAAAATTATGACCCATGTATAAATAAATTTATATATTGTTGTTGTGATGAAAGAATTGTTCGTGCCTTTTATTTCATTTTAAGAAATGACCAATTATTTAACCAAAAGTTTTTGAGCCCCCTTCTGTGTGTCAGATATGATGCTAAGCAGCAGAGATGCAGAGACTAATACATCCTCATATCTCCAAGGAGCCTATACTCAAAGTCCTGTGGAAACACATAACTAAACATCCTTCTTTTAAAACATTTTTTCCCTCTCTATCATAGCTCAGCAAAACAGTTTCAGCCCCCTCGAATGGCCACTAATGCACCCTTTGACTGCACTTGGTCCTGCTGTGTGATAAAATGGAAAGGTTTCACAGAGCACAGATCATTCCCAGACAAATCCTCAACCACACCACACACATGGAGATGAAGTCTCGGAGATTCATGTGGAAAATAGGGCATTTTTTAATAAACTGTCCGAGACAATATTTCTAACACTTCATTTTATGAAATGGTTTGGCAGGAGTTTTATTCCTGTATTCATTTTCTCTGTATAATAATAATAGTAATAGCAGCTATCCTGGAGGAATGCCAAGTCAGAATTCATTACTTTTCTATGGGAAATTGTTACAGACTAAATGGACATGGAGCTATTTAAAAAGAAAATCGGAACTAAGTTCATGTCACAGGGGAGTCACATATAGAAGAAACAATTACAATACATGTATGAAGCTAAATGTTTATTTTCAGCATTCTTATTCTCTGCTTGTTGTATAATGGTATTTGTTGTGCTGTCTACTTTCTATCAATCCATATGGTAAATGTTTGAGAACAAAAGTTAAAAGAGAAAAAGTGTTAGCCCTCAGTAAACTCGCAATCTAGAAGAGAGAGGGAGCATAAACTATAAACCGTCGGTCAGCACCAGAGTAGAAATGTGTGCAAAATACTGACTGGGAAGTGCTCAGGCTGCTTTATGGAGGCTGCTATATTTTAATTATTCAGACTGTGGTGGTGACCCCAGATAAGCAGACAGAAATGAAGACATCACTCAATTCACTGTGTGTTTCAAGTAAACAATATCAGCCACTGATTGACTAATTTTTCCACCTACCTGATTTTTTTTTAACAGTACTGAACAATTAGTTACATGTTGTGGCCATGTCTATGAGCTAACTTTTCACATGGCAGTTTGGCCACAACAAATTGAGGCTGATTATTAGCAATCTAGTGTCCTGTTGCAGTTAACGTCTCAGAGTCCCTGCTCTGTCTTCTCTGTGTCATCCTCAAGTGAAAGTTCCTGTGTTTGGGGCAGACACAGGCCAGTAGGACAGTTCAGATTGCTCAGCTCTCCCTGCATGTGCTCATGCTTGCCTATTGTAGCCCTCTTCTCCCCACACCTTCCACTAACTGTGTTATTCCTTTTGTTTCTTTTTGTTCTCTTCCCTTTCTACTCAACAGTGTTTCCTTCCACAGAGCCCACTCATGTTTAAAGATCAGATGCAACAGGATGTGATAATGGTGCTGAAGTTCCCATCAAATTCTCCAGTGACCCATGTGGCCGCCAACACCCTGCCCCACCTGACCATCCCTGCAGTGGTAACAGTGACCTGCAGCCGACTGTTTGCAGTGAACAGATGGCACAACACAGTAGGTACGTGGGCCTAAACAAAGCACTCACTAAACCGCTAATGTGAGAAAGGTGTGCTGGGGCGCTCTCATGCCAGATCAGCTACAAAAAGAGCAGAGCAGATCATTGCCAAGCCCAGCTAAATGACCCTGGCTGTCTCGTTTGCTGCAGCAAACTGTATGACACTGCTCACAGAAGGCTTGGTGCATGGTTAAGTACTCAGTACATATTTGATAAATGGAAGCAGATTTACAAATAAATCAGATCCTCTCACCTACCAAAAAACCCTCAAATTTTATCCCATATTAAACAAAAGTGAGCCTGAACCTGGATTTTCTGGATGGTAGTTTCAAATTTTCCTTCTTCGGGGTTGGTGGAGTGGCTCAAGCAGTAAGAGCGCCTGCCCAGTAAGAGTGAGGCCCTGAGTTCAAACCCCAGTACTGCCAAAAAAAAATTTCTTCAGTGTCAGTAATTTATTTAATAAATATCATGTGTCAAATAATCCTAAACACTTGGAATATAGCAATGACCAAGACAAACACCACCTCTATTCTTGTGCAGCTTCAAGTCTCTGAGAAGAGGCTAACTCAAAATTGCTTCGTGATTTCACATGTGTATTCTCCAAATTCATTTCTGCCAGCCCAGCAGTGTGTCTTGAAGAGATATAATGCTTCTACCAGTATTTAGACATGTTGATACTTAACCAGGGCAGAGGCAAATATGACCAAATGGTTTAGTTTGTCCAGCTAACCACTTAAGTTCTCCCTGGAAGCCCAGGACTCCCACTGTCTCTAAGACTGAACAGATGAGCCATGCTGAATTAACCTGAATCCTTCTATTCTACTCACTTCTACCTTGCTTTGAAAAATTCATACCATAGCTTTATCTCCAAAGGGTTTCTACATGCACCTATTTTATGGTTATTGATGACATTATCACCATGGGGTAGCACTACTTCCATTCAACTAGAAGTTTGCAGCAAACATCTTCAAGGAAAAAAATATAACTTCATTATTCATAGGGGTCTTAGCGTCTAGAAATACTTTGCATTGAGAGAAAACTATAAATGGCTAAATTTATTCCTTAAGATTATACAAAAGTGTTATATACTATATATTATATATTGCATGTTTTATATGTGTATACTATAGTCACATGTGGAAAAGTATGACTCATGAACTCAGTTAAGCCCTTCATGTTAATCTGCTGAAAGTGGCTTTTAGTGAGGAAGATTTTAGGTGTGGCTCAATTTTATATCTTCAATTTGCTTGTCATGAAAGAGGGCCCTCTTGGGTGGGAGTCCCAGCTTCCACCGTGCCCTAACCCATATCATCTGTTCTTTGAGGTGCAGCCTTTTCTTTGATTTCAGGCTCATTGGTTACTTGGAGTCCTTAGCTTTCTAATGAGTTCAAAAAATGTTATGATCCTCTGTTTTATCAGTCTTTTATACATCTTAAATAGAAACATGAAGTCCCTGCTGTGATGATTTTTTTAAGACTACCTACAAAGTCACATAATATGACAGAATCATCCTTAACATAGTTCACCAAAACTTTTAAGCCAATATAAATTTTGTGCAATCATCATTAAATGCTCTTCATTAGGAAATTCTTATTTTCCAATAATTTCATGAAAGTCTCTTTTTAAATCTTTAGGTCTCCGAGGAGCTCCAGGATACTCATTGGATCAAGCCCATCATCTTCCTATTGAAATGGATCCCTTAATTGGTATGCTAAAAAATAAATTTTCATGAATACTGACTGTCCACACATCATTACATGGTGGTTTTTCACAAAAGTTAAGTTTCCTGCCACAAAATTAATGTACAAATAAAATCAAATTACCATTAAGGAACTGTGCAAATCATATGTTATCTAAGAACTTTTTGTTACTAAAACAATTATTGGTGACATTTTCTTGATACCTTAGGAGGTCATTTAAATTGCATATAAACAAGGTAAAATATTAAAAGTGTCTTTGGTTTCAGAATAAAATATTCTTAACTTTATATTATTTAAGATACAAGGATTCAAAGAGATTGTTAAAGGAAACTAATAACTGAAGAAAATATTTTTTAGAAATCTATTCAGTGTGTCTAAACATTTTTAAAGTAAAAATTTCATATGAATTGCAAACTCAAGAGCTATAACTCTTTGTGGAAGATATTAAAAATACTTTTAAATGATCACATGCCATATGGTCCCTAGCAAGCCCCTTAATGGTTCTAGGCCCCTCAGTTTCTGTGAGATGGTTTATAATAATGTTTATTCCACCTATTTGTGGGGGTCATTCAGAAAATTAGAAAAAAAAACCAAAAATGCAATGAAAAATTATTACAGTATATACAAGCTAAGTTTCCTTTTATCTTTGAACCAAGCGATAGGATATAGCCTTCTCTGTTAGGTAATTTTACACCTAAAAAAAATAGCATTTACATACCTTTCAGAGTCCAGTCTAGCTATTTCTCTGTCTAGCAGACATTGACAATGAGATACATAGATAGTGTGTACCCATAGAAAAATGTATACCTCTATTATAATTAACCAAGTGCCACTTAGATCATTTTCCAGTGACCTAGGACCTTTGGTTTGCTTTTCCCTTACTGCCTTTCTTACATACTTTTTCTTCTATTGCTTACCTTCCCCAGTAATTATTTTTATAGTGTTAGTAGATAGCTACAAATAGTAGCACTTAGATTTAATTGGTACTAGAGAGTGGTTAGTGGCAGTGACCTTCTACATCCGTATTTCCTGTTTAAGAATTCAGTCTAGGGATTTTGCCTGAAAGAAATGGTGTAGCGTCGGGGACAGGCTGGCATCCAGACAGGCACTGGGGAAATCAGATGTGTCTCTCAGTTCCTGGCTTTATTCAGATTCAATCCCAGTGTGATGCACTGATTCTTTGCCTGTCTCTTTCCTCCTCATCTCTCTCCCATCTTTTTTATTCCTCTCCTCCCCTGCCAGTCCATGCTGCAAAGGCCTTCTGTTGGTTGACAATCCAGGTCTTCAGAGCTGCTGACCTAAAGCTCCCTGTGGGGCTTCCCATATAACAACTTCCATCGCTCGAATCTCTACCCTCCTCTTTTCACATGAATTGTAAATGTCATCAAAAATGACAGATTGGGGCAAATATTAAGATATCTTTTTCTTACATACATGCTTCATATAACATTTATCCCTCATATGGTTCTTATTGGACACCATGCAGAGTAAACAGCTAGAGAATCAAATGCATTTAAATATTTGATTATGTTTTAAATTCATTGTCTTGAATTCCTCATATGATTATTAATTATTCTTGGTAGAAGAATAATTTGAAATTCTAACGTAGTCTTTAAATATATAATATGGTTCACAGGTAAACACAGTTACTAAGGAAATGTCTATTTCTGAAAGGAAAATGTAAAATCCTAATAATCATGTAGCTTTAATTACCTATTACTAGATAAAGCATAAAAGTACTCTTTTCCTTTTATGAAGGCTTGGCGAAATTCTTCTGAAATCTTTCTTTAAATTCTTTTTTTCTATTTATTTTTAGCCAATAACTCTGGTGTGAACAAACGGCAGATCACAGACCTTGTGGACCAGAGTATACAAATCAATGCACATTGTTTTGTGGTCACAGCAGATAATCGCTATATTCTAATCTGTGGATTCTGGGATAAGAGCTTCAGAGTTTATTCTACTGAAACAGGTAATCTCAACTAATATTTTATTCTCTTTAAAATGACTCTTGTCAAAACCAGAGCTTAATATGAGCTTAATATGAAATCATAGAGTGTAGGCATTTTTACCATTTGCTTACTTTGAATCAGTGGTCAAGATTCAAATTCAATGTTTACATTGTAAGCTAAGTGACTACTTTTACCACAATCCATTCTGAGCTTTAACATGATCCCTGAGTTCATAGGGAAAATGGTGCTTTGACCCCTTCCCAAATGTATAGCCATTAAAAGACCTTAAACATCTCCTCAGTCTGGTCCAAACTTGGAAAAGTCATGAGTGTATTATTTTATAACACCTCTTCTTAACAATTCTAAATCACATTCCTGTGTCAGTTTTCAGAGATTAGAAAGCACCTTTAAGCTAGATTTTTTTTAACCTTATAAATTTGAGGGTCTATAGATTCATTTTTCATGAATATAGTAAAATAAAATTATTACCATTGAAAGAAAATGAGTAAATTAAATGACACTGTTGTTTCTGTGCTGCAGGCAAATTGACTCAGATTGTATTTGGCCACTGGGATGTGGTTACATGTCTGGCCAGGTCTGAATCCTACATTGGTGGAGACTGCTACATCGTGTCTGGATCCCGAGATGCCACCTTGCTTCTCTGGTACTGGAGTGGGAGGCACCATATCATAGGAGACAACCCCAATAGCAGTGAGTGCTTTTCTAGAATCCTCCTATCAGAGTATAAGTTTACTTAAATCTATTTTGCCTTTTTGATTTTCCTAAAACCGCAAGCATTTTAAAATATGAAAGCTTAAGCAGCAAAAAAACTTTATTGGAATGTAGCCACAATCAAAGTGGCCTGGGAAGACTCAGAGATCCCTGCTCAGCCAACTTCACAACATCCAAAGATTCTTCATAAATTTCACCTGGTCCATTAAACCTCATTATTTCTCTCAACTAAATATAATCTCCTCTGAATTTCATTTGTACCTCAGTCATTTACTGCTTTCTACAGTAAATTTATCCATTTATTTATCTACAAGCAATCATTGAACGCCCCTTCAGATCAGGCATCAGGGATGCAAAAACTGAATAAGAATGTTTCCTTGCTTGTACTGACTCCTCAAGTACTTTTTACTCATCAGTGCTTCTTAAAGATGTCCTGGAGGGAAAAAGACAGGACTCCCTTGTAAAATTATTTGGGAAAACATCGCATGTTAACTTTCTTTGAAAGTCCAACACAAATAAACCTGCTGACATTTGTTGAACCCAGTCTCTGAAACTTATTTTCCCACGGAATGTTTTGTTGCTGTGAGAGCAGGTTTCACAGTCCTTGTAACAGCGCAGGTACTATTGTCCCTACAAAACGCTGATGGAGATCATGAGTGTCTCTGGGTTCTGGTGTAGCTGCGCAGGAGATTTCCTATGAATACTGTTAAATGATTGAAATGCTAGATAAGAGATTGCCAAGAAACGATTACTGCTTTCAGTTACCAAGCTTTCAGTAGTTCAAATGTCTGTGTTTCCTATAAAATGCAGAATGGTTTCTGTGAAGTGTTGAAATGTCAAGTGCCTAAGCCAAGGTTACTCAAGTTGTAATTCGTACATCAGTCACAACTTAAACAGTGCTCAAAACACAACTTTACAGAATATTGATGACAACAGAGATAAGAATTTCCTAGGAAACTCTGTGCATTTTCACCTGAAATCTTGTGAGAGGAAATAAGAAATCCACAGTGTTGTGTTCCACTTGCATGGCTGGAACTGGCCCCAGCTGTTCTAGGCTGGTAGGGAGCTGGGGATGGAGCAACCTGCACACCTGCCCCTCAAGTCCCACTCCTTCCCCCTGCTTGCACACATTTGAAACAATAATACCACAAAAATAGGAGATGGCTTTTGATTGGCAGGAAGCAAGGCCCCATCATAGTACAGGAAGAATATAGAAACATATAAACATATATACTGAAGAAGACCATTACCAGAAGATTAAACTAGACAACTAAATGATATGTGAAGTTTTATTATAATTGTCCATAGGTAGAGTTGAAAAATAACAAATGAAGAAACTAAAATGAAGTGTGAAGTAGTGTATATCTCTTGCATAGAGAGGAAGAGTGTAAATTAAGCATATGTGCCTTCTCTAAATAGTGAACATTGTGTTCTAATAACATCTAAATAATGTGATGTTGATTTGAGGGAAAATATTCAGTATTGCTAATCAGTTCAAATAGTTGTCAATTCTACATTATTAATGAACATCTTATTTGAAGTCCTAATAAGTTAACATCCTTGTTTGCGCTTCTAAAACCTCATCCTTAAAAAATTTCATCTCCAGCAGAATTCAAGTGTGTCTGTGTAAGCATGTGTGTGTGTGTGTGTGTGTGTATAAGACACCTGATCTAACAATGATGGTTTTGTTATTCTCACACCTGGTACATTATCTCGTATACTTTGCCTAAATATATTTTCACACATTCCAAATTTTCTTTATTTCCATAGCAATGTAACATTATTTAGAAATGTTTAATTAAGCAGCAGTTCTGTGTACTATCTTAGACATATATTGACAAAATTAGACATTTTTATTATATTATTGTACTGGGGGTACATTGTGACATTTACAAAAGTTTTTGCAATATGTAATAGTTGAATTAATCTCCTCTACCATTCAAATTTAGACATTATAACATAGAAAAAAATGAAAAGAAATAGAATAGAGCTTTAAATATAACAAACATCTTCCAATGAAGCTTAGGAATGTTGCAAACTTTTTTCCCAAATAGGGGATTCATTTTTTAAAAGCTGCCATCTGGTAGCAGAGATAAAATATTTTTAAAATATACTGCTATGAGATAAAGAATTTTAAAGAAAAATGGTAAATAATTATTATAGTAATTTATAATATAGTAAATAGACTAAATTATAATAATTATCTGTATTAGCTACTTCATTTTCTAATGATCTTTTATTATTATTATTATTATTATTATTATTATTATTATTATTTTGGAGGGGATAGTCCTGGAATTTTGAACTCAGGACCTTGTCTTTGCTAGGCAGGCACTCTTAACACTGGAGCCACACTCCTAGCCCTTTTTGCTTTAGTTATTTTTCCAATAGGATCTCACATTTATGCCCTGGCCAGCCTGGACCTCGATCCTCCTATTTGCACTTCCCACTCTTAGTTGAGTAGACAGGTGTGCACCACCACATCCAGCTTTTATTGGTTAAGACAGTCTCCCTAACTTTTTGCCTGGGCTGGCCTCAAACTTCATTCCTTGATCTCCACCTCTGGAGTAGTTAGGATTACAGGCGTGAGCCACTGCACCTGGCTGTAATGATCTCTGAAACCAAAGGATAGTTGGTTGCCAATTGTAGCTTTGGTCCATAAGTTAGTATGAAAAGGTAAATATAATAATATTTAAAATATTTGAAGTCCCTTAAAGTAAAATACATAAATACAAAATGTTTACTTTATTCCTTAAGAAAAAAATATTAATATTGTATTGTTAAAAAGCAGTGTTTTTTAAGACTTAAATAAGGGCAAAATTATCCTTAAGAAGTTGTGACAGAAAATTATCAAGATATATTCTTCACTATTGCCTCCATCTGTAAGAATGTATTTTTTGATCAAAAGTTCTTGTTATCATTATGACCCTACACACTTGCATACAATCCACCCTGTCAAGACTTAATTAGGCATTTAATATGGCCATATGCAGTATGGTTTCTATTATCTTCATATAAGGGAAAAATATTCTTCTAGAATCAACAGGACAAGCACCAACAGTATGAGTCACCAAACCACTATGTACCAAATGCCGGCTCTGTGCCTGGTGCTCTCTTAGCAGTTCGGAGTGCTGGATAGTCAAAGGCCCTGGCCTGCAGTTAAATAAGGACATCTGTATTACGCTGATCACAAAACCTATTTTCCTGCTCCAATGTACTGAGTACACTGAATATGAATTACATGAATCATTAATTGTATCATATCATATTTTATACCATAAGTTCTTTGGTATCCATATAACACTTCACTTTATATCTTGGGTATAAATTGAGAATTATGTTTAAAAAAAAAAACTGGTTTCAGCATTTGACCACAAGGAAAATCAGTAAAATAAATAAATAAATAAGTCATACTTAGCATTCAGTTGAAGTAACTGATTTATGATTTACTTGTCATAAGTAAGAATGACCAATCTAGAGTGTATACATGCTCATAAGAGCAGCAGTACGTATTAGTCAGTTTGCTTTTTTTAAAGGCAGTCATACCACACAGTGAATTGACTGTCAGATCTGTGATCGACTGTGGTATTGACATAGACAGACATATATAGTTGTTGCCATCAGAAAACTTGCAATATGAAAGAAAAAGATCTTTTTTCTATTCCAGTTTAATCTACTCCAGCTACCAATTCATAGGTCAGAGAAGCAGGCTATATGTGTTTTCTATCTTATAATCCAATGCTACTCAAAACCAAAAAGCTAGTTATGTCAACATTTGTATTAGAGTGTGTGACACAATGCCCTTAGGTTTTGTGGGTTGTAAACATTTAACCTAAACTTGAAGAGGAATGCCTAGCATGAAACATAATACCCCAGCAGTTTTTAAAATTCAGTAGTTGGTCTTAGTATGGCCATTGAATGACTTTGTATGGCAGAGAAGCCAAATCATATTTGTTCATCATGAAATTATAGGATTTATCATCTAACTTTATATATATATATATATATATATATCACTGAAATCTCAAGATAAAGTCAACTGGCTTTAATATATGTTTCTTTTACATTATTGTTATTATATTATAATGATAGCTCAATTCATTCCACAAAGAAAAATAAGTCATCTTTGTAGATTTTTTAGGTTGGTTATAGAAAGGGCCTGTGGTTTCATTGTGTCCAATGAATTCCTCTGACTAATTTAGACATTTCAGAAATATTAGTCTTTTTCTGATTGTTTTTATTATTTTGATGAGTTTATCACAAAAACAATGAACATTTGCAGATTATTACACAGAGAATTTCAGACCATAAAAGAAATAAGCAAAGGCTACCTGACATATATTACAGTTGAATTTTAGTTATTTTATTAATGTATTTTATATTAATAATACTCATTTCAAACCTATGACTTTGAACATAGAAAATCATCTTGGAGATTTTAAATAGGTCCCTAACTAGATAACAGAGTTGCAGAGATGTGAGGGGCAGATGCTTTCATCTGAAACAGTCTTACACAAATTCTGAAACTAATTTCGAAGTGATAAAAATTAATTTGCGCACTTTAATTGGAAGCTGCCTGCTGCATGAAGGAAAGCAGAGCAGAGCAGGCAATTTGTGCTAAAAGCTGATTGAATTTTTTGTCAGGTAGGTATCTTGGACTTGGCCGTTTATCCTCTAGAGCCCTTCTTTGCAATATATTACAACCCATCTCTGACTGGTGTTCTTTAAAAGGATCAATGCTATTCCTGTTTGAATCCCTAGAGTCCAAAATTTCATTGATCTTGGGACTTGACATTTCTCATTACGCACTGTAGCTTCAACACGATAGTCACAAGAGGAGCAAGCTAACATTGTTGTGTCTTCAGTACACACTGAAAACAAGTTGGAACCTCAGCTCTAAAGCCAATCTGCTTTGAAAGTATGTAATTTAAATGTTTATACCAGACATAAGGTGCTTTATAGACAGCTTGATACATATG